GAGGCAGGGGCAGGAAATATAGTCAAAGCTGCTCTTCTGTAGAGTCATGGATGTTCTGCTGTAGAGTTGGGGGTGCAATGGGGGATTGGGTCTGCCAGAAAGTGAGGTAGCAGGAGAAGGTCTACAGGCAGCCTTCCTGCTACCTCACTTTCTGGCAGTCATGGCTTGTGGTTTAACAGGGGCTGCTCTTTTACATGGAAAGTCAGTCCTTACATCTCATAGGTTTGCAGAGGGAGTCAGGGGTCTGAAACAGAGAACAGGAAACAGACACAAGAGGAATGCTAAGATATCAGGCTTTCATCCTTCCTTTTGGTTCCCTCATGGGCCCAAGTGGGGATTTGATGCTTTTTTCTTTCCTTTAGAATCCAAACAACGTCTAAGTGCCTGTTATACACCCAGACCGTGGGACAGACAGAAGACTTCAGGGCAAGAAGGATGCTGACATAGGCAAGGAGTTCTGAATTACCTGTGACCAGGGAAAAGGTCATCACTGTAAATACTGTATCTATGGAAGTCCATAATACTTTTCTATATTCCTCCCCACTTGTATGCATCCTGGGCTAAGAGGATTAAAAATGGTAGTGTGGGAGCAATGCTATGACAGACAATGTTTACATGTCCATCACTGGATAAGACATTGGCTCTCATGAGTGTGTGTTCTATTCTGAGAATATCAGTGTAATGGTGGAGACATCCTCGTGCCTCTGAATGGCACTCCAGAGCTGTCAGGCAGGTAGTCCTCTCCTTCCCAGAAACTCATGTTGAACAGGCCCCCAACCACTCCAGCAGAATGAGAACTCTCAGAGGTGCAGCCTCATTTGAGCAAAGACACCATTTACACTGGGGACTGAGTAAAACCATGGTGGTTGATGATGATGATGATGAAGTGGTACCCATGAACAGTGTTTCTCGGTCATTAGAATCTCATCTGGTGCTGCTTTTCCCTCTTCACCCATTCCCTTGTCACCTCGTTCATGAAGAGTAACGGGAAGTGGAAAACGAAACGTGGCTGACTTGGAGCTGATTCTTCACTGTGCATTTCACACTGATAGCAAGGGATGCATTCCCAGAAACTGCAGGCTCAGCTTGCACAGAGATGCTTCTGAGATAGAGTTCTCTCTTAAGTCCAGTGGAAGGAAGGCAGAGCGTTGCTGGCAATATACTCTGTAAAGTTTTTACATCCATGCCCCCTTGTCCTTCCTCCAGGTTTGACCATCATTGTGTAAGGTGCAAATATGGATTTGTTTTCCTGTCTCCATACAATGCTTCTTGCTGGGGATTCCAGCCTGCTGTGCACAGTCTGCCCATAGACTATTGGAGAATAATAATAATATCTTCATGTATCACAGGGACCCTCTGTGTGTCACTGCCTCACTTCCTGCATGACTGTGAGTGAAGCAGGGGAAGAGGACTAAGAGCTGGTGAAAGAGGAATTGTCAGGTCTTCTAGACAGTGTAGTTGTCTTAGGGTCTGTGGGAGCAGTGCAGGATTGTGAGGCATTGAGTCAGTCCGGCAGACAGTGGAGCTTTCAAAGACTACCTAAACTAGACCAGACATAATATCACAGATGTTTTGGGGAGCATGAGTTCAAGTTGGTGCACAGAGTGTCCAGGATCCCTGGGAGTCTTGGGTAAGAGTATCTGGGAGGAGACTAGAAACTGAGGACCATCACCAAGATGGAGGTACAGGTGTGGAGCTGAGAGTCAGCAGTAGATGGAGACACAGCACAGCACTTAAGACCCAAGGTACCTAGGTTGGCATGGAGGCTCCAGGACCTGTTAAATCCTTCACTGGGTACAGTTGGCCAAAGCCTTCTGTGCCTCCTCCATTTCAGTGTCAACAAGAAAGATGGTGACAAAAAGGTGAACGAACACCGTAATGCCTCTGCCATCAATTAATAAACGGTAGTGTTGCCATTTGTAGACATTGATTGCCTCTCCAGAGAGGAAGTGGATAGGCAGAAAGGTGGAGGGGGGCAAGTTAGGACTACGGAGCAGGTGAGTATAGGCTAATTCCAATGGGATTCATGTGTGCACTGCTGTGAAGAAACCCATTATTTGTGTTCTTTCTTTTTTCATTTTCTTCCTTTTTATTTTTAAATTTAAATTAGAAACAAGGTTGATTCACATGTAAATCCCAGCTTCCTATCCCTCTCCCTGCTCTCCTCCAATGCCCTCCCACCAGCCCCCAGCTCCCTTTCCCCAATCCGCACTCCTTTCCCCAGGGAGGGTGAGGCCCTCCATGGGGGATATCCATAGTCTGTCTTTTCATTCAGGGCAGGGCCTAGGCCCTCCCCCAAGAGTCCAGGCTGAGAGAGCATCCCTCATTGTGGGATGGGCTCCCAAAGTTCATTTGTATGCCAGGGATAAATATTGATCTACTACCCAAGGCCCCATAGATTATCTAGGCCTCCTCACTGACACCCACATTCTGGGGATCTGGATCAGTCCCATGCTGGAATCCCAGCCATCAGTCTGGGGTTCAAGAGCTCCCCGCTTGTTCAGGTCAGCTATTTCTGTGGGTTAAATAAGCCCAGTCTTCATCCCTGTGCTTATCAGTCCTCAATCTCTGTCACTGGGATACTTGAGTTCAGCTCAGTGTTTAGCTGTGAGTGTCTGCCTCTGCTTCCATCAGTTATTGGTTGAAGGTTCTGTTTCCCAGACTCTCTGGCACTGGGATTGTAGGCTGGCACTCCCCAGATCTATGTCTAAAATACATATATTAGGAGTATATACCATGTTTGTCTTTTTGTGACTGGGTTACCTCACTCAGGATGGTTTCTACTAGTGTTGTACATTTGCCTGCAAATTTCAAGATTCCGTTATTTTTTTCTTCTGAATACTACTCCATTGTGTAAATGCACCACATTTTCTCTATCCACTTTTCAGTTGTGGAGCATCTAGGTTGCTTCCAGGTTCTGGCTATTTCAAATAATGCTGCTATGAACATAGTAGTACTGACATCCTTGTTGTATGAATTTGCTTCTTTTGGATATATGCCTAAGAGTGGAATTGCTAGGTCTTGTGGTAGGCTGATTCCAATTTTCCTGAGGACTCTCCATACTTAATTCCAAAGTGGCTGTATGAGTTTGCACTGCCACCAGCAGTGGAGCAGTGTTCCCCTTTCTCCACATCTTCTCCAGCATAAATTGGTGTTTTTGATTTTAGCCATTCTGACAGGGGTAAGATGGTATTTCAGAGTTGCTTCGATTTGCATTTCCCTGATGGCTAGGGATATTGAGTACTTTCTTAAGTGTCTCTCAGCCATTTTAGACTACTCTATTGAGAATTCTCTATTTAGTTCTGTAGCCCACTTTTTAATTGGATCCTTTGGTGTTTTGTAGACTTGCTTCTTGAGTTCTTTCTAAATTTTAGAGATCAGCCCTCTGTAAGATGTGGGGTTAGTGAATATCTTCCCATTCTGTGGGCTGCCTTTTTGTCTTGTTGACGATGTCTTTTGCCTTACAGAAGCTTCTAAGTTTCAGGAGGTCCCATGTATTAATTGTTGATCTTAGTGTCTATGCTACTGGTGTATGTTCAAGATCAACTCAAGAAAATCAGCAACATTATTATATACAAACGATAAATGGGCTGAGAAAGAAATCAGAGAAACATCACCTTTTAAAATTGCCACAAACAACATAAAATACCTTGGGGTAACGCTAACCAAACAAGTGAAAGGCCTGTATCGCAAGAACTTTGAATCTTTAAAGAAAGAAATTAAAGAAGACCCAAGAAAATGGAAAGATCTCCCATGTTCATGGATAGGTAGGATCAACGTAATAAAAATGGCAATCTTGACAAAAGCAATCTACAGATTAAATGCAATCCCCATTAAGACCCCAGCACAATTCTTCACAGCCCTTGAAAGAATAATAATCAACTTTATATGGAAAAACAAAAGACCCAGGATAGCCAAAACAACCCTATTCAACAAAGCAGCATCTGGAGGCATCACCATCCCTGATTTCAAGCTCTAGTATAGAGCTGTAGTCCTGAAAACAGCTTGGTATTGACACAAAAATAGACAGGTAGACCAATGGAATCGAATTGAACACCCCAATATTAACCCATACACGTATGAACATCTGATCTTCAACAAAGAAGGTGAAAATATACAATGGAAAACAGAAAGCATCTTCAACAAATGGTGCTGGCATAACTGGATGCTGGCATGTACAAGATTGCAGATAGATCCATGTCTATTGCCATACACAAAACTTAAGCAGAAATGGATCAAAGACCCAACATAAATCCAGCCACACTGAACCTCTTAGAAGAGAAATTGGGAGTTACCCTTGAACAAATTGGTACATTATTTGTGTTCTTACAAACCCTTTTTGGGTGTGGGACTGAATTTCATTTTATAGAGATGCCTATAATGCAGGAAGCCTTTGATGTGGTTCCAAGCCTCACATAAAACAGATGTACTGGCATGGACCTCTAAAGCTGGTCTTGGGATGTGGAGGCTGCAGGATCAGAACCTCAAGATCATCCTGGTTAGAAAAGGAATTTGCAGCCAGACTGAGACCACAACACCCAAGCATATATATATATATATATATATATATATATATATATATATATATATATATTCCACACATTTCAATGAATACATAGGTGTTCACATTGACACACACTGTTCCTGGAGCAGCAAACTACTGTTTGATCTGCTTGGTGCTTCATATAAGACACACTGGGCAGTTCCAGTGTGATCCTCTTATAAACATACATAAATGATAATGGAATCTGGTGGCCTGTGGTGGACTCTAACAGTAAGGCAATCCCAGCCTGCCACACACTTGTTCTCACTCCTTTTCAATGCACCTAACTATGAACACCTCCCCCCTACACCACCACCCCTAAGACAGGGTTTAGGACCAGTTTTCCCACCCTCCACTGTTTGTTCACTCTCAGCACCTTGCAAGTGGTTCTTTCATCACAATGAGTCCCAGCAAAGCTGCAGAGCCCCTGGCAGGTCCCCTTCAGTGCTGCCACAGTGTCCACTAGGGCTGGGTGTGTAGTGGGGGGCTGATGGCCTCAAGGCCCTCAATCAGAGAGTGAAACTTCATTTCACATGAAAAGAAAAAAGAAATCTATCTGACTCCTCTAGGTAAGAAGCTGAGCAACAGTTAGACCTAGTCCTGTCTCCTCTCTGCAACTTACCTTACCTTTTCCCTACAGGGACAGAGCCAATCTTCCTGAGAAAGCATCCTGCATCTGCAGACAGGCTCTGGAGACATCCAGACTCCAGTTTATGAGAGACCTCTGCAGGAAGGGCCCAGGTTCTCTGCTCCATCTGTAGGCCTTCAGCTCTGGGACTCCTGCTGACTGTCTCCCCTCAAGGCTGCTCTTCATTGTACAAAATCCAGTTTCCAGGCAGCATGAACTGTGTCCAGAGACAGCAAATGGTGGTTGGTCTCCTATGATGAGGTGAGGTGAGAATCGGTGGTTCATGAGACTAGGAACATATGTGATTTTTATTTATCAAGCATACCTAAGCTTCCCAAGTGAGGAGTTGTATCCTGTTCCTAGGGACGTGGCTAAGACGTAATGATCTAAAACTCTGCGCAGAATATTTGGTCCTCTTCTGATTAGAGAATCAGGACCTCAACTGGTTGTATGGCACTGGGGAGCCCATTAGACTTGAATGAGTGTCAGAAGAGACTCCATTTTCAGGCTTTAGGCCACATGACTTACAGCATCCCTCTCACCCCCTCAATTTTTTTCCACCATTGGCAGGGCATGATGTCCGACCCCATGTAGCAGGATGCAAAAGTAAGCACTTTTGCATGATTCTTGGATGGTGTAACTTATACATTGAGTTTCATTCCAGCCATGGTCACATAGTGAAACTCTTTCTCTCAATAAAATAAAATAAATGTAAACAAAGCAAAAAAATTGCCCACCAAAGGAGACCAGGACTGCAACAAATATATACTAAAGAAACTACTTAATATGTACAGAAGTCCAGGACCCATGTGATGCCACCCAACTCAGTTTGGCAAAAGTCACCCATTGGTCATTTTGGGTCCTCAAGACCTGGGTTGCCAGTAGACATCCAGGACCCACCTGATTCTACTATGCTCAGACGGCCACATGGCACAGGCAAGCCAGTCGGGCTCCTAAATTCCTGGAATGGCAAGAAGTCACCCAGGGCTCATCTTATGCCACATTGCTCAGGTAGACAGAAGCCACTCACAGACTGCCTAAAGGCCTGTACTGGCAGAAAGACATCCAAGGCCCCAAGTGGTACTAGGCAGGTGGTTCACAATATGAGGAGCAAGTATGTGGTATAGAAAGAATCAGAATGGTTCATGTGCTGTAGAACAGGGCAGAACAGAAGCAAAAGTGGTAAGGAGTAGACATACGTGGGAGGCCTTGCCACTCAGGGCCTCTGTGACATGCGGACCCAGGCTCCTGCCAAGGGTCATCTCTGGATCCACGATCCAATCACAGCAAGAGTCTATGTGGCCATCTCCGGTCCATGTTGTCACCAAAGGCCACAAGGATGCCAAGTGTCTGGGATGCCTCCAGTGGACATGTAGGTGTCTAACAGCCATGCTGTTGCCAGAGCCATGATCAGCTTGTTGGACTGTGCTGCCAGCTGTGGCAATTGTGTGTTCCAGGCTTGAGTTGCTGCTGCTGAGGGGCATGTGTGGGTCCATAGCCCTAGAACAACCAGGGTCTGAGTTGACATCTGTTGCTCTCGTTGCTGTGTGGTTGCCTGGGGTCTGATATGCCACCTGGGAATGTATTAGTGCACAAGGGCCATACTGCATCTGGTTTATACAAATTAATTACATGTAATATTCTCTGATGCTATGATGACATCTGGGCCTACACTGCAGCTGGGGGATATATCTGGGCCTGTGGCCCTTCTGCATCCAGGATCTGTGTTGAGGGCTGTGGTTCTAGTTACCACAAGAGCCTTATGTATTCCTGGGGGTCTGGGCTGCCACCAATGGATTAATTCCATTTGCCGAAAAAACTCAAAAGAGCCTAATATAGACTCTGTCGTGTGGTTATTAGTGCTAACTGTAATGAAGATTTGTAATGAAAAGAAGCAAGCTGAACAGGGTAAATTACAAAATGTAAAATTTATGGTGAAATAGAACACCAAAAGTGGAATGGAACTAAGTCCTGTGTTCAAAGAGATAAACAGATTTAGAAATGGAATAAATGGAGTGGTGATTTCAGGGAAAGATCCCACTAGATGTTTCCAACATGTAAAAAGGAATTAAAGAAAAGCTTAGAGCCAAATATAGTGGTATACGCCTTTAATCCCAGCACTTGCAAGGCAGAGACAGGCAGATCTTATCCAGCTAAGTTTCCAATTTGTGAAAAGTAATTAAAGAAAAGCTTAGAATAGGATGTGTTGATGACCGCATTTAATCCCAACACTCAGAAGCCAGAGGTTGATGGTTCTTAGTAGGGGCCAACCTAGTCTACAGAGTTCAAAAACAGCCAAGCTTAGGAAACAGAGACATGGAAAACAGAAAGCTAATGAAAATGTAATTGAACATGGGGGCCATGTTCCAGCCCCACGAAGTAGCAGAACTTGAAAGTTTTTGGTCATGTGGTTCAGGCTTTAGATTTGAGGGTGCTAGAAATGGGTTATGGAAATAACCACCATGCTTAAGGAATGTCACTGAGACCAGGCATGTATCAGGAGTGTCCCTGACTGGAGGCCTAGTAGAAAGGCCATTATGTGAAGCTGTGAATTTGAAGCCTGGATTTCTTGAAGAATCCAAGATGCTAGAGATTTGAGAGTCGTGGCATACCTGCCGAGGAGGGCTGCTAACTGGGAATGGAACCAGTCCAACAGAAAGAAGTGTGTTACCATCAACAAAGCTGAACAGGGTTGGAGATGGTGTTTTGCTACAGAATTTGGAATATGTCCACCTTGTTTTTGGTCTTGTTGTCATCCTGTGTTTCCTCCCTATTCTCCTTTCCCTACATTTTGGAATGGCAATGTATAGCCTATGCCATTATATGTTGGAAGTATGCAATCTGGTTTTGGAGTTTGATTTTGCAGTGGATTACAGTTATGAGATTACATAATCTCAAATGAGACTTCATACTTTGGACTTCCAAACATTGATGAAATTGTGATAAACTATGAGGACTTTAGAATTTGAACTGAATTTATTTTGCACTATTACCCTGTTAAAAAGTTTATGGGGGCCAGGGAGAGGAATGTGGTAGTTTTAATGTATTTGCACCACATAATCTAGTAGAGAGTAGTGCTATTAGGTGATGTGACTTCGTTGGAGGAAGTGTGTATTGTCGGTGCAGGCTTTTTGGTTTCCTATACTCAGGGTACCATCAAATGGCTTGAATTAACTTTCTATCACCTACAAGATATAGGACTCTCAGTTCCAGCACCATGTCTGGCTGCGTATCTCCATGCTCCCCATCATTATGATAATGAACTTTAGGCTGAAACTGTAAGTGAGTCACCCCAATTAAATGTTTTCTATATTAAAATAGATGTACAAGAAGGTAAGGACTCTGTAGCAGCCAGGTTTGGAAAAGTCTTAGAATTCTAATGAGGGGGCTAATTAAAATATGATCTATCCCATATGAAAGTCTTCTGTGGCATAATACTAAGTGAAAATTGAATACTAGCATGGGTCACTTAAGTAATAGAGAGGACAGAGAACTCCAGAGTTGGTGTGCTCAGAAGAAGGGAAAGCCCTTGTGAAATCCTCCTGGAAGTTCTACCAACACCTCTTTCACGATTCTGTTAGACCTCGGAAACAACAGCTGACAGGACCTAAGCACAGAGGGAAAATCCTGTGTCTCCACAGTGAGCAGCTGGAGGATACTGAAGGGAGAGCACAGGAGGGAACTGGGGAAGCCTCTACAACAAGAATCAAGCTTACAGGGTCCAGTCGCCCATGTGAGGAAGGAGATGAACTCCCCCAGCAAGCAGAGTGAGAATGAACCCAGCAGCTCTTTCAGGACCTCCACTGCTGAGATTAGTACGAGAGACATCTTGCTTGGAACCTCTTATCCCTGAGGCAGGACATAGGGTCAACCCCATATGGCCTTCTGAAGCTTGCAGATGTTGACATAATAAATTTCAGTCACTTGTAGGCATAGCTTTGCTGGAAGATTGACAGAGCATTGATAGAAAACCAATTGGATTGGAAAAGGGCTCTTGTCCTGCATGTAAGCAGAGACCCCTTGTCCTGGGATGCTTCAGTTGTTAGCAGAGGAATTACAGAGCAAGTGTTTTCATCCCTACACTGGCTATTGTTTAACCCAGTGTGTCCAGAATATCTAGTGAGTGCCACGACATAAATAACAGGACTCCTGCAGTGGTATGGGTGGTGACAACTGGAAGTGCACGGTGGCTAGAAATCCTGTAACTTGACCAAACAATCAAGTGTTCCGAGGTTTCTTTGACTTTATCTCCCAGTCCTTTGTGATGAAGACAAAAAGAATGAAAAATAAGTAACCTACATAGGGTTGGCAAGCAGTACACACACACACACACACACACACACACACACACACACACACGCACACACACACACCAACTTTTCTTTTTGTCTCATTTATAGTATTCATCTCTCACAGTATAAATTCCCACCACAGCAGAGCACTCAGTCCTCCCTCCTCTCCTCCCTCTTTCACCTCTTGTCTCCCCAGATGCATTCCTCTGCTTCTCTTCAGAAAAGAGCAGGCTCCTGGAATACCAAAAGGACAAAGCATAACAAGTTGCAATGACAATAGGCACAAACCCACTTATCAGGGAATGACAAGACCAAACAGTAGGGGGGAAGGTTCCCAAGGGCATGAAAAGCATCAGAGACATGATCACTTACATTAGTAGGAGTCCCATGAGAGCAATGGGCTAACAACCATGAGATTGAAGCAGAGGACCTAGTACATAACCGTGCAAGCTCTGTGATTATTTCTTCAGTGTCTGTGAGCCCTCATAAGTCTTGATCAGTAGATTCTGTGTTCCTATTCTCCTGGTGTCCTTTAATCCCCTGGCTCCCACAGTTCTTCCTCTCCCTCTTCCTAGAGAGCCCATGGGGATCTCCAATTTGGGGTCTCTCTGTGCCTAATTGATTGGATGTGTGTCTCTCTCTGCATCTGGATGAGCAGTATTTTAAAGTTCAGCAGCTGCCATGCACAAATGGGAAAATCTAGGAGGCATCTTTATCTGGTGTATGGGCACTTCAGACATTTGATGAACATCCCACCTCAGTGTAGGATTCTGTGTACAGGCATGGGGGATCTGGGGATTTCCAGTTGATGGTGGCAAGTGGGTAGGATTATTAAAGGACCTGTATTGATGATAGTCAGTCCAAGCAGGTGTAGGTGAAGGAAACACCCCTGCTATGGAGGAAGCATGCCATCTCCTGTGTGGCAGGAGGGCTCCTTAAAGGTGACACAAAGAAGTGTTTCAGAATGCA